TCTTTCTTAGATCCCCATCCGGGCAGGTAAATCGACCAGTGGGGAGAGGGGTCGATTAAACGATGCTCAAGTGCAGGAGCGTGCTGCGCCGGCCACACCGCAGGCAGCGGTCATGCGGTGCCTTCCCAGCGTCGAAGAGGCTGGCCTGCGTCCCTTGAGAGCCTCCCGTGGCGCTGCCGAGAGCGCGACGCTCCCGCCCGTTCCAATGACGTCTTCTGCCCCCGCGACGGCGCTCGCGACAGCCCAGGAGGTGGAGCAGGAGCAGGCGCAGAGAAGGTACAGCAGGAGGAGGAGGAGGAGGAGGAGGAGGAGGACGAGGAACCGGGGGAGTCATTATGTGGACGAGGGGGAAGAGAGGAGGGTGTGGGAGGATGGGATGGCCAGGAGGTTGACGTGAAACGAGCAGTGCCTGGCACGAACAAGCTCTTCGTCGGGGGGCTGCCTCAGAACACCATGGCCGCGGAACTGCGCGAGCACTTCGAGGCCTTCGGCGTGGTTTCTGATGCCGTCGTGATGATACGATCCGCCTTGTGGCTCCCCGCCAGCAGCATTTGCAACTCGACGGGGCTGTTGGAGGAGGCGGAGGAGGAGGAGGAGAAGGATGCGGAGGAGGAGGAGGAGGACAACGAGGAGGAGGAAGAGGACAAGGAGCAGGAGGAGGAGGAGGAAGAGGATGAGGAGGAGGAAGAGGAGGAGGAGGAAGACTAAGACTAGTAATATAAATAATACCATTGATAATACTAAGGAGCAGGATGAGGAGGAGGAGGAGGACGAGGACGAGGAGGCGGAGGAGGAGAATGAAAAGGAGGAGGAGGAGGAGGAGGAGGAGGAGCAGGATGATGATGATGAGGAGGAGCAGGAGGAGGAGGAGCAGGAGGAGGAGGAGGAGGAGGAGGAGGAGGAGGAGGAGGAGTTGGAGGAGCGATCCCATGAAGCGACGCGCCGAGTGCGGCAGCAAGAATGGCAAGGACGAGTGGACAGTATGAGAGATCGCCATCGCACACATTCCATCGGGTCGCCCGCCGACTACAGACATCAGAAGACCAGCGCCCCTCCAGGGAGACATAAGCCAACCTGGCGGCACACGCTTGAACCCGAAATATGTGAAAGGACGAACGAGTAAAGCTAAGAAATCATGAAGTGATGGAACAAGGCGCCCATGGGCACCTTGGAAGACCTAATGAAGGAAATTACGGTGGAAACGCAAGAAGCCCCAGCCATTGCACAGCAGAGTCACCGACGAGCAGTCGACGGGGCTGGGGGATGGGATGCCGCTTCCCCTCTTGTGGATAAGTCCGATCCAGGGCGTTCCGCAGCGCTCCCAGAGCTTTCCGGAACGCTGTGAGAAGGCCGCGGCGCCGGAGACATCCTCCAGAGCCGCAGGACTTTAGGGATTCTCGATTTTTCCTCACCCGATTTTGTCCTCGTCCTGGTTTCGTCCTGGCGTGCCCACGCGGGAACCCCACCCCGTCGGGGGGGTCGGCGGATCGACCCCGCCACTGGCCGCTCCCGTGGCTTTGGGTTTGTGTGCTTCGCGCCCGGGCAGGACGCCCAGCTCTCGGGGGGGCCGCGGGGGCTGGTGCCTGACGCATCGGGGAGCAGATAACGACATGCAGTCGACCCGCATAGCAAGGATGGAACGACTTTCCAAGGTCACCCTTGCACCAAGTCGGGCCCGTCCCTCCACAGGAGGAATATTCAAATTTGTGAACAAAATCAGGGGGAGAATGGGGGTCAGAACAGGAAACGCTCTAAACCACTCACGTCCTGGAGGGCTGGTGGGATTTGCTCGCATACGTTCTACCACGTATGTGTACGTACGATCTGTTAGGCTGGCAGTGCCACCGATGAGTCCACACACGTTCTGCCATCCATGCGTCCACATACGCTCAGCCAGGTGGAGTACGTGCACCCGCCGCCTTCGTGTCCACATGCGCGCTGCTGGACCAGCTGTGCCACGTACGTGTTTGCATACGTTCTGCAGCCTATGTGTCCACGTACGTTTTGTCAGGTGGAATGCGCGCTCTCGACACCTATGTGTACACATACGTTCTGCGAGGCCGACTTGGCAACCCATGTGTCCACATACGTTATGCCACGCATGTGTCTACATACGTTCTGCCAGGTGAAAGTCGCGCACCCGCCATCTATGTGTCTACGTACGATCTGCCATGCCTCTTGGGGCTTCTTGGGGGTCTCTGTGGGTCCCAGAGGCCTTTTAGGGCGTCTTGGGCGCCCCTGGGGGGCCTCTTGGGGCCTCTTTGGGGTCTCTGTGTCCGAATATGTTCTGCCAGGTTAAATGCGCGCACTAGTTGACGTGAGCAGGGGTTTGTTGGAGCAACGAGGGGGGCAGCCGTTACCTTTCGAAGGGGGAGGGAAAGAAAGAGGAGGAAGAGGAAGATACGGAGGAGGAGGATGGATGAGGGAGGAGGGGAAATGATGAGGAATGGGCGGATCATGGTGATGATGATGTTGATGATGCTGATTATGATGATGATGATTGTGATGGTGGTGGTGATGGTGATAGTGATGGTGAGGATTGTCGAGATGCTGATGATGACGATGATGATGCTGATGATGACGATGATGATGATGATGACGATAATGATGCTGCTGCTGATGAGGATGATTATCATGATTTTCATCATGATGAAAAGTATGATGCTGATGCTGTTGCTGGTGATGGTGATACTTATCGTTCTGATCACGGTGATAACGATGCTGCTGATGATGCTGTTAATGATGCAGTTGATGTTGACGGCGACGAGGACGATGAAGACAATTCTGATGATGAGGATGATGCTGTTGGTCAGGATCAGGGTACCGATATTGTTGTGATTGTTGTTATTAAAGATGTTGTTGTTGTTCTTTTTATATTTGTTGTTGAAGGTGATGATGGTGATGTTATCGATGCTGATAACGATGATGAGGCTGCTGATGATGGTGACGATGCTGATGGTACAGATGCTGATGATGTTGATGATGATTACGATGATGTTGCTGATGCTGATTATGCGTAGGATGATGTCGACGATGACGACGATGATGTTGCTGATGCTCATGATGAGGTTGGTGTTGATATTGTTGCTGCTGATGATGATGATGATGTTGACGCTGATGTGCTGATGATAACGATGATGATGACGTTACTGATTCTGATTCTGCTGCTGTTGTTGCTGCTGGTGGCGATGATGACGCTGCTGACGATGGTGATGATGATCATCAAGTTGTTGTTGATGATGCTGCTGTTGATGATGGTGATGATGAGGATGAAGCAGAGGATGATGATGCGTATCATTATGATGATGATATTCGTAGCCGTGAGGGAGTCGCGAGAAGGAGGGTGAGGAGAATGATGCTGACGACGACGAGGCGGATCATGATGATGATGACGATGATGCTCATGATGGTGATGATGATGATGATGATGATGATGATGACGATGCTGGTGCTGCTGCTGAGGATGATGATGCTGCTGCTGATGATGATTATCCTGATGATGATGCTGACGCTGATGATGATGACGAAGTTGATGACGATGCTGATGATGATGCTGATGCTGATGCTAATGATGATGTTCACGATGCTGATGATGAAGCTGATGCTGATGTCACGTATGCTGCTGATGATGAAGATGATGATGACGATGATGATGATGATGCTGATGATGACGATGTTGATGACATTGCTGATGCTGATAATGCTGACGATGAAGATCACGATGATTGTAATTCTGATAGTGTCGGTGATGATGATGATGCTGGTGTTGATACTGATGATGAGGATGATGATGGTGCTGCTGATCATGATGAGGATGCGGATGATTCCTATGCTGCTGATGATGATGATGATGACGATGCGATGATGCTGATGATGATGATGATGCTGATGCTGCTGATGATGATGAGGATGATGATGATGATGATGATGATGATGATGCTGATGATGATGATGATGATAACGATGGATATGATGATGCTGATGGTGCTGACGATGATGATGATGCTTCTGATGATGATAGTGGCGATGATGCTGCTGATGATTATGATAATGATGATGATGCTGATGATGCTGATGATGATTATGATGGTGATGATGCTGATGATGATGCTGATGCTGATGAGGATGATGATTGCGATGATGATGATGCTGATGCTGATGGTGCTGATGATGCTGGTGATGCTGATCATGGTGATGATGATGCTGCCGCTGATGATGATGATGTTGCAGATGATGATGATGCTGATGATGACGTTGCTGCTGCTGATGATGATGATGATGCTGCTGCTGATGATGATAGTGGCGATGATGAGGCTGATGATGATGATGATGATGATGATGACGATGATGATGATGATGATGATGATGATGATGATGATGATGATGATGATACTGATGCTGATATTGACGATGCTGCTGATGATGCTGATGCTGATGCTGATGTTGATGCTGATGATGATGCTGATGCTGATGAGGATGATGATTACGATGATGATGATGCTGATGATGCTGATGATGCTGAGGATGCTGATGATGCTGATCATGGTGATGATGCTGCTGCTGATGATGATGTTGCTGATGATGATGATGTTGATGATGATGCTGCTGCTGATGATGATGATGATGATGATGCTGATGCTGATGTTGCTGCTGCTGATGATGATGATGCTGATAGTTGCGATGATGATGATGATCATGATGATGATGCTGATGCTGACTGCTATTGCTGTGATGATGATGCTGATGATGATGGGGGATGAATGCTGCTGCGGCTGCTGATGATGATGATGAGGATGTGATGAGGATGATGATGATGATGATGATGACATGACCGATGAGATGATGATGATGATGATGATGTGATGATGATGATGATGATGATGGATGCTTGATGAGGCTTGATGATGGGAGTGGAGGAGGGATTGAATGGGATGGACGAAAGATGATGGACGACGACAACGCGACGATGATGATGACGATCAGAGGATGATGATGATGTTGATGATGAAGATGATGATGATGATGATGATGATGATGATGAGGAGGAGGAGGAGGAGGAGGAGGAGGAGGAGGAGGAGGAGGAGGAGGAGGAGGAGGAGAGGAGGCGGAGGCGGAGGCGGAGGCGGAGGCGGAGGCGGCGGCGGCGGCGGCGGAGGAGGAGGAGGAGGAGGAGGAGGATGAGGAGGAGGCGGAAGAGGAGGGCGAGGAGAATTGGCCAGAGGTCTCCTGGGGCGTCTTTGGAGTCTTTTGGCAGTCCCAGCGGCCTCTTGGGGCGTCTTGGGTTCCTCTTGGAGGGGTGCATCTTGGGGCCTCTAAAAGTTCTCCTGGGAGCCTCTTTGGGTACATCTTGGTGACCTCTCGGGGGCCTCTTGGGGCCTCCTGGGCACCTCTTGGGCCATCTCGAGGCACTCTTGGAACCGTCGCGACCCATCTTGGAGCCATCTCGGAGAAGACCGATCACAGGAGCGGCCGTCGTACAGAAGCCCCCTAAGCCCCCCCCTCTCCCTCCCCACACAGGAGGCCAACATGTGGCCAACACCTTAGTACAATCAATGACTCTGGCTTTTTCGCCGAGGCTTGTTGAGGCGTCTTGGTGCCTCTGGAGATGGGGGGTGGCTCTTGGAGCCTCTCGGGGTCTCTTGGGGGCCTCTTGGGGGGATCTTGGGGCCTCGTGGGGCCTCTTGGGGCCCCCCGGGAACCCCTTGGGTCCGCCTCGGGCCACCCTTGGGAGTTTGGGGGGCCATTTTGAGGCCATCTTGGAGGACATCGATCAAAGGATGGGGTCTCCTCAATGAGCTCTTCCCCAGGCGGTCAGCATGTGGTCAGCATCTTAGTGAACTCAAATATTTTGGTCTTATCGCTGGCGCCTCCTGGGGCGTCATGGGTGCATCTGGGGGGCCTCTTGGGGCCTCTTGGGGTCTCTCTGGGAGCCTCCTGGGGGCACCTTGGGGGCCTCTTGAGGGCCTCTTGGGGCCTCCAGGGTCCTCCAGGGGCCGTCTTGTGGCACTTTTGGGAACATCTGGGGCCATCTTGGGGCCATCTTGGGGTACATCGATCAAAGGAGGGGGTCTTCCCAATTCTTGACGCTTCGCATGTCCCCACCAGCCGTCCCGCTCGGATCCGATTCCCACTCGGTCGTATTCGATTTGTTGGGAACGTTCGCGCCATTTTGGCTGCGTTCGGCCTCCACGGTGCCTGGTGTCAGACTCCCTTGATGCGCCGTTGCATGTTCCTTCAGGGGCTGCCCTGCAGACTCCCTGGATTGCACGCTCGCACAGACGCCCTGGGTCGCTGCTGCCTGCCGCCTGACCGCGGCCCCGCGCGCGCCCGCCCTCTCTGTCGCGGCCGCAGCCCGACCGTGACTGCCTGCCGCTGGCGCTTCCGCCCGCGGCTGTAAAAAAAAATATCCCCACCAGCGTCCGTAGCCTTCTGGCTTGAGCCGGGCGGCGGCGGCGGCGCCCGCGGCCTCTCCGCCGCCCGCGCGCGCACTCTTGGGCCAAGACTCATGGGGCGCGGCCTGGCCGCGCGGCCGAGGAGCGCCCGGCCGATGCCCGGCGCGCGCGCGGGCGCCGCGCAGCGACGCTCGGCACGGCCCGCTCGGGCGGCACCCGGCGCGGCGGCCGCGCGCCTGCGGGTGCTGCTCGGCGCCTCCGCGGCGGCGGCGGGGCGCTGGCGGCTGCCGGCCTGGGGGCTGCCGCCGCCGCGGCCCGCCGACTTCGAGGGCTTGCGCCTCTTCTTCTACGACCTGCCCGCGGGCTTCAACGCGGAGCTCGTGGACGAGCTGGGCCGGCAGGGCCAGGATGCGGGCGGCAATTGCGACTTCATGCTCTCGGCCTGCACGGAAAGCCGCTGGACCGGCAAGCCCTCCCAAGCGCGGCAACGCGGAGCGGAGGTGGTTGTGCTCCAGAAGCTGCTGGCCTGCCCCGACAGCGCCCGCACGCGCGACGCAGGCGAGGCGGACTTGTTCGTAGTGCCGTACCTCGCAGCCACGGACTGTCTGCTCGGTGGCTTCCAGGCGGGCTGAGTCAAGACCCGGTCCGCAGGGGGCCTGGGCTTGTTCGGCCACTTGGAGCACTACAACCACGCCACTCGCCACCGGCACCTGTTCCTAGCGACCGCAGACATGCACAGCCTGCCCCCGTACATTCAGGCGCAGCCGCTGCTGGTTTCCCGCGGCGCGGTGTGGGGGCACCGGCCAGGCCACCTCCTCGTGCCCAGCAAGGTCACCGAGGAGGAGCTGCAGCCCGCGGTTTTCGAGGACCTGCAGCTGGAGCAGCGCAGTGTCTTGTTCTGGCAGTACCAGACGCCAAACAACGCCGCCCGCATCCTGGTGTACGATCAGCTATGGCATCTCGGCACTCTGCCAGAAGAGGAGGTACGGCAGCTCCTCGGGTTCCACGGCGAGCTCGTGCGGCACTGGACCCAGCGCGGCGCGAACGCAACCATACTGCCCGCCGCCGCGACGGTGGCTGGGATGCGGCGCGCCATCTTCTGCCCAGCGCCCCCAGGCGAGAACCCGTCCGCGGGCACCAAGAGGTTGAAGGACGCGGTGCTGGCTGGCTGCCTGCCCGTCGTGGTGGCATTCGGCACCTCGTGGGGCAGCGGCGTGAGCTGGTGGCGGACCGAGGGCCCGCCCCTAGAGGCCATGTTGCCTTTTACGTGGGAGATCGATTGGAGGCGCCTGGCAGTGGAGGTCAGCTACAGTGAGCTGCAGCGTGAGGGAGGCCTGGTCGACTCCATCGCTCGCCTCGGCCGTGACGGGGTGGAGGCGAAGAGGTCCTATCTGTTATCAGTCCGGGACCGACTCGTATTCGATTTTGCGGGAAGAGTTCGCGACGCGTTCAGCGTCTTGATGGATGGCGTCCGGGCGGCACTGCCGAAGCTGACCCCCTCGCCCCTCTCCCACCCGCAACTCGGGCACACGTCGGGCATGGTCTGCGACGTGTTGCCCAACCAGATGGACACGGTGCGGTGGCGTGGGTCTGACGGCGAGAACTACACGCAGAAGATTTGGTTCCACCCTTTGCAGAGCTATCCTGCCAGCCGGCCCACCCTTGGGCCGCCGGCCTGGACCTGGGCCCGGCCTCCCCGCTGCGGGCCACGCGGCTGGCCGTGCAGCGCCCGGCGCTGACCCGCATGCTGCTGACCGAGAGCGGCACGACCGTGCGCCTGCACGCGCCGCAGGCCGTCAGCCTGGCGCTGGGCGACGGCCCGCAGCGCGCGCACGCGGGCGCCCTGCTGGCCAGCTCGCCCCTGTCGGTGTGCTTGTACAGGAGCCTGCCCGTGGTGAAGAACCACAGACTGGACACGGGATCCTGGATGTACTACCGCTCTCCGCCGCAGGGCCCGCACAACGCAACCTGCAGCCTGCTGCCGGCACTGGCCGCGCCGCCACCGCTGCTGTCGCGACCCGTCGCCCGCTGGGAGCTGCTCGTGCAGGGCTGCCGCGCGCGGCCGCGCCTGGGGCGCTTCGGCCAGGAGGCGGAGCAGGCCTGGACCGCGATGCCGCCCGGGCACGCGCTCCAGGTCACGGTCCACGAGGCCTGCGCCGAGGCGCCGCCGCGGCGCCGCGCCGGCGGCTTCGGGGGGCGCCCCGCCGGCGCGGAGCTGCTGCAGCACGTGCTGGCCGTGCTGCACGGTCGCCGGCGCGGCCAGCCCGCCCCCGATGCCTTCGTGCTGGTGCCGCCGGCTGCGCCGGGGCGCGGCGGCGCCGCGGCCGCCGCGGCGCCGGGGCAGTGGCGGGCTGGGCTGGTGACCCTCATCGGCACGCTCACGAAGATATTCCAGGAGATGGAGGAGCGCCACGGCCCCGCTGTGGACGCGGGCCTGGGCAGGTGGCTGGCGGCCTCGTGCAACCCCTGCCCGAAGTTCTCGGCGGGGCGCGCGGTCGAGGACGTGCACGGGGCGCGCGCCGTCGCCTTCCCGGCGGCCCTGCTCGACAGCGCCACGCTCAGCGAGTGGGAGGCGGCGGTGCCGCTCGCGCCGCTCGAGGCCGAGCAGGGCGCCGCGGCGAACTTCGACCTGCTCTTCGCGCTGCTGGTGCAGACGGCGACGTCGGCACGCGCGCCCGTGTACCAGACGCTGCACGGGTCGCCTCCCCCAAAAATTATCCCGGCAAAGCAACCTAACAGCGATGTGTAGGAGCATATCTGGAAGCATTCCCCTTAAGATTCAGATGAGAATTCAGTTGTAGAATTCTGCTGTTCTCGCAGTCGTAGTCGCATTCGCGATGACAGTCGCAGTGGCAACGGCAGTCGCAGTCACAGCCTCAGCCTCAGCCTGCCTCAGCCTCAGCCTCAGCCTGCCTCAGCCTCAGCCTGCCTCAGCCTCAGCCTCAGCCTGCTTCAGCCTCAGCATCAGTCTGCCTTCAGCCTCGGCCTCAGCCTCAGCCTGCCTCAGCCTCAGCCTGCATCAGCCTCAGCCTCAGCCTCAGCCTGCCTCAGCATCAGCCTGCCTCAGCCTCAGCCTCAGCCTGCCTCAGCCTCAGCCTCAGCTGCTTCAGCCTCAGCCTCAGTCTGCCTTCAGCCTCGGCCTCAGCCTCAGCCTGCCTCAGCCTCAGCCTGCATCAGCCTCAGCCTCAGCCTCAGCCTGCTCAGCTCAGCCTGCCTCAGCCTCAGCCTCAGCCTGCCTCAGCCTCAGCTCAGCCTGCTTCAGCCTCAGCCTCAGTCTGCCTTCAGCCTCGGCCTCAGCCTCAGCCTGCCTCAGCCTCAGCCTGCATCAGCCTCAGCCTCAGCCTCAGCCTCAGCCTGCCTCAGCATCAGCCTCAGCCTGCCTCAGCCTCAGCCTGCCTCAGCCTCAGCCTAGCCTGCTTCAGCCTCAGCCTCAGTCTGCCTTCAGCCTCGGCCTCAGCCTCAGCCTGCCTCAGCCTCAGCCTGCATCAGCCTCAGCCTCAGCCTCAGCCTGCCTCAGCATCAGCAAGCCTCAGCCTCAGCCTCAGCCTGCCTCAGCCTCAGCCTCAGCCTCAGCCTGCTTCAGCCTCAGCCTCAGTCTGCCTCCAGCCTCGGCCTCAGCCTCAGCCTGCCTCAGCCTCAGCCTGCATCAGCCTCAGCCTCAGCCTCAGCCTGCCTCAGCATCAGCCTGCCTCAGCCTCAGCCTCAGCCTGCCTCTGCCTCAGCCTCAGCCTGCTTCAGCCTCAGCCTCGGTCTGCCGTCGGCCTCGGCCTCAGCCTCAGCCTGCCTCAGCCTCAGCCTGCATCAGCCTCAGCCTCAGCCTCAGCCTGCCTCAGCATCAGCCTGCCTCAGCCTCAGCCTCAGCCTGCCTCAGCCTCAGCCTCAGCTGCTTCAGCCTCAGCCTCAGTCTGCCTACAGCCTCGTCCTCAGCTTCAGTCTGCCTTCAGCCTCAGCCTGCCTCAGCCTCAGCCTCAGCCTGCTTCAGCCTCAGCCTCAGGTCGTCCTTCAGCCTCGGCCTCAGCCTCAGCCTGCCTCAGCCTCAGCCTGCATCAGCCTCAGCTCAGCTCAGCCTGCCTCAGCCTCAGCCTCAGCCCTGCTCCAGCCTCAGCCTCAGCCTCAGCCTCAGCCTGCTTCAGCCAAAGCCTCAGTCTGCCTTCAGCCTTGGCCTCAGCCTCAGCCTGCCTCAGCCTCAGCCTGCATCAGCCTCAGCCTCAGCCTCAGCCTGCCTCAGCATCAGCCTGCTCAGCCTCAGCCTGCCTCTGCCTCAGCCTCAGCCTGCTTCAGCCTCAGCCTCAGTCTGCCTTCAGCCTCGGCCTCAGCCTCAGCCTGCCTCAGCCTCAGCCTGCCTCAGCCTCAGCCTCAGCCTGCCTCAGCATTCAAAATGTGGCACGGGAATGGAGTTCTGGGAACTCGAAGACCACGAAGTGGCCTACAGTTGGCTCCGGGCATCCAAAATCATGCCCAGGAATGGAGTTCTGGGAACTCGAAGACCACGAAGTGGCCCACAGTTGGCTCCGGGCATTCAAAATCATGCCCAGGAATGGAGCTCTGGGAACTCGAAGACCACGAAGTGGCCTACAGTTGGCTCCGGGCATTCAAAATCATGCCCAGAAATGGAGTTCTGGGAACTCGAAGACCACGAAGTGGCCTACAGTTGGCTCCGGGCATTCAAAATCATGCCCAGGAATGGAGTTCTGGGAACTCGAAGACCACGCAGTGCGTTACTGTTGGCTAAAAATGGAGTCCCCGGATTCCCGGGGCACCCGTCCGGCATCTGCCCAGACCTCCCTGGGGAGTCATGATGCTTTCTTTTGAGACCACTAGAAACCTATCAGTCTTCGCTGTTAGGTAAAAAAACCTTGCTCCACATGCCCAACCGCTCGTTGGCGCATGGAGCCCCCGAGTGCACGTGGTCCAGCCTGTGCTCTCCCACGCTTCCCGCGCCGCCGAGGTCGGCCGCGACAGTCGGTCTACCTCGGCGCGCTCAGGGCTGATTCCGCCTCTGGCGCCGTCGCGGCGACAAGGCTGCACGCTGTGGCTTCTGGACGCCATAGCTCCTGCCCCTGGTGCTGGTCCGGTTACACACGTATGTGCGGCCGTCAGCCGTTCCTGGACATCGGGAGCTATGCTATGTCCTGGCCGCTATGCCATGTTCCTGGGCTTGGTTTCGGTCTCATGCTTCACACGTGCAGACAGCCGTCAGCCGTTCCTGGCTCCTGGCATTCACGTTGCCGTTTTGCACCGGCAGTTCGGCATGGTATCAGCCTGGTTCAGTTGGGGTTGGTTTACACGCGTATGTACGGCCGTCAGCCGTTCCTGGCCTTGGGGTGCTATGCTTTGTCTTGGTCGCTATGCCATTCCTAGATTGGTTTCGGTCTCCTGCTACTCACGTGCAGACGGCCGTCAGCCGTTCTTGGATTCCTTACCTTGGCACAGCTAATTACTTTCGTGGCAAGTGATGTGTGGAAGCCACTAGCATCGGCATCCTGGCTTGCGATTCCTGCATTTCCCCACCAGCCTGATTCAGTTTGGCTTGGCAATTTGGTGCATGTCGGTGATGGTGGACCGCTTCCGACCTCCTGGCCCTGGCGCCCCCAGCTCACCGCAGCGCAGCTCGGCGGCTTAGGCAGCTTTGGTTTGACCCCGCGCTCTACGGAATGGGGGTGCCTGTCATCTCCATGGGGTGTGCAGGGCGCCCCCGGGAGCGTCCGAAGCGTCCCGGAGGGCCCCTGGGACCGCCAGGAACAGTTCGAGACCGCCCAAGACGGCCCGCGAGCGCTCCAAGACGCGCATACATAGCCTCAGGAATTGCCAGGAAGGCCCGAAGACGTTCCAAGAGAGCTCCATGAGGCCCGGAAGGCATCCCAAGAGGCCTCCCAAGAGAGCCCCGACAAGCCAAAATCGTCGATTTGTATTGTTTTTTTCCATGTATTTGGCCTTCTCGCCTTTTCGGAGTTCCGACGCTCCAAGACCGTCCAAGAGTCTTCCAAAACCGCTCCAAGACGGCCGAAGAGGCCCCCAAGACCTCCCCAAGACGGCCCAAGGCCCATTGGAGGCCCTCAGGAGGTCGTCCCCGTCATGTTCCCGGAAGGCGGTCCGGGAACATGATTCCGCGCCTTGGAGGAGTATTCTGCGCTTTCCGAGGCGCCTTCCGAGGCGCCCTGGACGACGTACGTATATTTCTATAGATTGTTTATCTCCTGTGTACACAATCCTACATGTCGTACGTATGTTTCTCGTTCTCTCTCTCTCTCTCTTTACATGTATGTGTGTGTGTATATATATATATGTATATACATATATATGAATATGTGTATATAGATATGTGCATATATAGAGATACCCCTCCCCCAAGCCCTCCCGAGTCGTGCCACTTCCTTTCACGTATTTCAATTTCTTCCCTATACATATTTACATATATATATATATACGCGCCCCAAGACGCCTCCAGGAGAGCCTAACAGGCCTCCGAGAGGCCCCCAAGAGGCCCATTGGAGGCCCTCAGGAGGTCGTCCCCATCATGTTCCCGGAAGGCGGTCCGGGAACATGATTCCGCGCCTTGGAGGAGTGTTCTGCGCTTTCCGAGGCGCCTTCCGAGGCGCCTTGGACGACGTACGTATGTTTCTATCGATTGTCCTTCTCCAGTGTACACAACCCTACATGTCTTACGTATGTTTCTATATATATATATATATATATATAAAAGAGGCCCACTGGAGGCCCTCAGGAGGTCGTCCCCATCATGTTCCCGGAAGGCGGTCCGGGAACATGATTCCGCGCCTTGGAGGAGTGTTCAGCGCTTTCCGAGGCGCCTTCCGAGGCGCCTTGGACGACGTACGTATATTTCTATAGATTGTCTATCTCCTGTGTACACAATCCTACATGTCTTACGTATGTTTCTATATATGTATGTATATGTATATGTATATGTATATGTATATGTGTGTATATATATACCCCTCCCCCAAGCCCTCCCGAGTCGTGCCACTTCCTTCCACGTATTTCAATTTCTTTCATATATATATGTATATCAGAGAAACTATGGATTCAATTTGTGTCGGGGTTTCGGTTTTCTGCTATTCCTGGCGGCCCACAGGGGCCAGACGGATCGTGAGGTGGCGGAGGAGGAGGAGGAGGAGGAGGAGGAGGAGGAGGAGGAGGAGCGCCACCTGTGGCTGTGGCTCCTCGCGTTTCTCCAGCCTGCCTCTCTCCCCTCCCCCTCCTCCCTCTCTCCCTAAACCCCCCTCCCTCCTCCTCCCCCCGCCTCAGTTGAGATTATTATGTCTAGGACCTGTT